TTTACTTTTGGCACACACAGTTGGCTAATGAAGGAAACATGGACCAAACAAGTATTGGTGCCAAATGGTAAGAGGCGTCACAAGTAGTGTAGGCTAGTGATGGCTTCGGGCTTCGTTCAACAATACAAATTGATCCACTATATCATAGTCAAAGAACTAGTCACATTGCCATGCCACTGATGGCTAAACCCTTCAGATCCTAGAAGCTCATTTTGTCTGATGTTTGCCACGTGTCAAAAGAGCTCTGATGCGCGCTGTCCACGCAAACTGCACTGCAGCTTTCCGACATGCTGGCGCATCGCAAACATGCCTCTCTGAGGCCGCTGTGGGAAAGCAAAGTCATGTTGTTGTTGTTGTTGTTGGTTGCTGGTTGTTTGTTGTTTGTTGTTCCATGGGAACGAAGCTCTTGTGGGAGCGCAGCAACATTGGACAGAGCATTGTTAGCAATTTCCACCTGAGCCGATGTTTTTGCGCGCGTAAAGGTTGATTGACTGATTGATTGGTTGGAACCTTGCCTCCTTGATCAACCCTTCGGGCCAAAAAAGTGAAGCCATGTACGCGTCCCCCTGGGAAGGCTTCCTGCCAGCAAGGCAAAAAAACATAAACAACCTGAGAAGCGGCAAAACGAAAGCCAGCGTTTTTGCTTTCGAGTGTGCTTTCTCAGGCCACCCCCGCGAAACCCCGTCCTTACTCAGCTGGCGCAAGTATAGATACCCAGGGTAACTACAACTGTTACCAGGTATAGTACCTCAAGTTCCCTTTCCGTCAACCGCTCGATAACCTTTACACACGTACAGCAATCCACAGCTTTGAAGTCTCATTGAACTTATATAGGTGTGTAAGAGATATAACAACATAGCATTTATACGGACCCCTTTATGTGCCTGATTCCGCCAGCCGCCGGGTACTTTTGGTGGCTGGCCGGCTGATTCCGCCGGATATTTTGCTGGCTGTCTGGCTGATTCCACCGGATACTTTTTAGCTAGCTGGCTGGCTGATTCCGCCGGATACTTTGATAGGTGGCTGGCCGGCTGATTCCGCCAAGTACCCGGAACGCAGGGTCAATAACAGAATACGAAAAGCATTCAGTGTTCCAAGCGAAACCGCACCAGATCTGATTAAATATTCCAGGGTATAGTTCTATTTATTTTTTAAATATATAGTTATTCTGGGTATAGTTCCACCCTTCTTCTCAGGATTGCCCACTGTTCATCACTCCTCCAACATGTTCTTCATTTAAAAAAAACATATTCTGGGGTTTGTCTCCACTATCAGTATCACATACCTCCAGCCATAAATATTCCTGTAAAAATATTCCATAAAAAATATTCTGTGAACTCACGGTATAACCTGGAATATTTAACCAAGGTACCCCCCCATCTCAAGGACGCACCTCCAAGTCCGACCGCCCCGGCATGACCAACTGTATACACAACATCATACAACCACCATTCACGGATGCCCTTCCTTGTGAGCTAGGGTAAACGCACAGCTCTGCGACTACTGTCATCTCCCACTGTCATCTCTCTCCTTCTACCTCTGTGGGTAGCAGTCCAAAACCGATGAAATCTCTCCCAAGGCCAGTTTGGAGGGCAATGGAAGTTTGCAGGATGAAATGAGCAAGGTCAACTTTTGCATTCAATTCCTCCGGAGACCTTCACTAACTTCGATTGAGCAGCTTCGACGTCTGACTCCAGTCATCCTCCGTGTACAAGAGATCGTTAAAGGCCTTCCGCAGCTTGTATGAATCCAGTAGTTCCCACCTCAAACAAGTTGCCCAGTTGCTTGGCTGTCTAGTCTGGTATTCTAACAGCCCCACTTGGCCTATGCAAAAGGAGGATACTTTCTTGGAGTTAGTAAACATAAAATAGTTGTTGCCATGAAATCCTCAGTGCAGGCCAGTGTCAGCTCTTTAAGAGATGCGGCTTTGCTGTTCACGATACCTTGGTGAGAAGAAAGCGGCGCAAATATGCAAAAACTGTGCAACATCTGGTGACGACAAAGCTACCGATGCCCTTGGCTAGTCTGGGGATGATATGAGTTCAATTTGGACAATGCAAAAGGTGAGAGTTGCTGGTGGCGCGCCTGAGATGATTTGGGACCAGGTTTGGTTCAAGGAGTTTCTCCTTCTCGGGCATCACTCATCGTGACTCTTGCTTCACCGAAGCCTTTTCTCTGCGACTCTTTTGTGGGCACTGAATTGTGGCCTTCTCAGAAAGCAAACATCACGGTATTTTTCGTTAAAAGCAAATCGTTGCTGATTCTCGAATTGCTACTTTTGCGTCCTTTGCAGGCTTCAGCATAGAGAATTCCAGTGCCTCCTGGTGAAACGTCAATCGCAGTTGGATCCTCCGATCAAAGAACTTGAACGAGCCCATTCGCAGGTATGCCTCACAGAATTCCTGTATAAAGCCTGAACCACTCAACCCAGCTTGGTTGGGAAAAGGCCGTTGACTACCTGCTAGCCTGCTAGGAAACATGCATGAAGTCACTCATTGTCTGAATGTGTCTTGGTCAGCTCGGCTTGCTTCCCAGAACTTCGTAAGCAAACTGATTAAACATGCGCTACCTTCATACATATCATGTATTGTTCTTTCCTATCTCGTTGCGAACTGCGGTTTGTGTGTCCTTCACCAACAACAGCTAATTACTAAAATTAATTAGTCCCGCAAATGGGTCTGATGAAAGAACTTCACCATCCTCTCATGCCGTGCTCTCACTCATTGGCTTCTCCAGCTCTGCCAAGGCGATACCTCATTTGTCCCGCGAAAAAAAATGGAGGCTGCTGAAATCTTTTTACCGTTCACCTTGGTAGCAGAGCAGAATCAAAGAACACAATGCAATCAAACTGGTTTGCAATTTGATTTCACTCAGCCCCCACACATGCAATCAAGACGCTAGGAAACCAACACCACAAGGGCACCGCTTCGTCCTGCTTATCCACCCAGCATAGGCCCTCCTAAGTTGCAGGCCCATGCCGGCCACCGGGAACCACTTCCAATACTTTAAACTGGCATATCATGCCATACCCAAGAGATGCCCTACCATCTCCAGTGCAGTGGCGTACATCTTCGACAATGATACCATTGAGACAGGGTCTTTGAAGCAACATGAAACAACTGTTCCCTTTTGCATCTTGCCTGGACAGGATGCACACATACGATCAAATAGATCAAATATGCAGCACATGAGTTGAACAAAGACCAACGTTCACGACACTGGTGACTAATATGACTGCCCAGTGGGCGATTGAAAGCCGCCAAGCTGCCCGGATACAATGCAAGAGCGCTTGGTCCGCGCGATCCGTGGTCCAGCCTTTCCTGTCACGAAGACAAACCGTCCTGTTCCTCTTTGGGACAGCACAGAATACGCAAGAAGACTAAACCAACGACATGTCAACTGGACACGATGCCGATTGGATGACACATGTCAACTGAAGAACTTGACCTTTTAAATGGACACACGGGATACCATGCCCAGACTTGAACACATTGAATCTTCATGTGTTTGCATGGTCATATTCTCAAATCTGCTTTGTGTGTGTGTTGTAGTAGTTCTAGACTGTCACTCCAACATGATTCCTAATTAGGTCCTCCTTACCAGGTGCTACAAAATCACATTCCTTCATACATGAGAAGGTCACTTAGTGCAGCTATGGATAGCTAAGGATCTGGAAATCCTGTGTTCTGAGGTAGCATGTCACCGAGTCAAATGACAATGGACGGATACTGTACCAAAATGTGCATGTAATCCTCAGAAGACTCTTTTGCGAGTTGTGGGCCTACGAGACCGCAAAGCTGCCCTTCGTTCATACACTGGGTAGGTGCAAAGCAATTTTGAGGACTGAGCCCTCCCAAGACTTGCGGCAAACATCCTGAAGACCGAGAAAAACAATAGAAACTATTAAGTTCAGTCCAAGTTCGTGTTCTGCAAATGCTAAGTTTACTTGGGTGCATTGTATGTCTCAGAGATTGCCCAAACCATGGCGGTAATAAGCTTACAGGATCATTCGCATGAGCGCTATCTTGAGGTGGTTCTGCTCAAGTTCCGCCTTGCTGCAAGATTAGTTTTGTGGCCTGGAATTTGCAGGAATGCATCTATAAGAGATTGACATTGAGATGGCGTTGTAACAATACTTCATTGCGCAAACAAAGTACAAAGGAATCATGAGGAACCCACGAGCTTAAGTTTGATTCCCTTTAATTTTGCGAACGGATGGAAAGGTGTGCCCTGGCCCCGTTCTAGCTCTTAGGTCAACATGAAGCTCGCGCGCTAAAGCTCCTTTTTACCTGGTTGGGCACTTGAGCCAAAAGTATATGGCATGTACCTGTATAGCGACTATACTGGGACCCCATCCCTATTGACAAATTTTGTGCTCTTGCCACCTTCATAGCATACGATCCATGATCAAAGCTTTTCGGAGTTGTTGTATAACTCTCAGATTATCATGACTTTAAACCTTTGCAAAACCCGCCTTTACTCTTGCTCGCTGCTCCGAGAGAAAGCTGAACTTCAGAGAAGGAGTTTAGAAGGTTGAACATTTTACAAAACACACACAGTTCGAAAAACTGTGTTTTTCTACGGGATGCCACCTGTTCATAACCTGTCCAAACTCTTCAAACCTATGTTTCTTCAGTGGACACCTCCGTCGGCGTGTGCTGATACGGTCCTCAAAAGGTCGGCTGCGCACACTTTCCCGCCGGATGCCTTAATTACATCCATCGCCGCTTGGAGGCTGCTTCCAAGCAGTTGTCGGGGCGGTTCAGCCGGGATTGGAGAACCCTGAAACAGTCGGTGGAGATTGGAAGGTAAGGCGGGTCCATAGCATGTGTATATATATATAACTAACTCTATGTATATAACTAAATAACTAATATATAACTACAGTCACTAAATGCAGTTAAGTTATATTTGTATAGATTATTATAGATTCATGGTGATTCATGCATGTTCCACACAATTAGGGCACATTGCAATCCAACATTGAAAAAACTATTTACTTACTTAAGATCCAATGGCGGAGTTGGTTGGAACTCTTCTGTTGGATTAGGCATCAGTGGATCTCCATCTTTGCATGTGAAGACCTGTACTAACCAGTCAAAACCAGTCAACATGCCGCATCCCACATTCACATCCAAGAATATCAAGAATGAACCAAAAACATACTCTATGCCTCTATGCAATCTATGCATGTTTCGCGGAACCGTATGAGTCCTGGCCCTGTTGTGGTTGCAGTCCCTTCGCACCATCCAATGTTTTGGGATTCGGCTTGCCTCAACCCATGTTATATGGCCAAACCTTATCAGAATCCTCCGCACCTCAGGGACCACACACCCTGCCAACACGTGCACCTCTCTCGCTGGCTGTCCAGTGGCCGCTGCCAGCTCTATCACCTGTGCCGTGTCCCCACTGAGCTCGTCGGGCACGGAGCACAAAAGCCGTTGCCGGCCACAGAAGCGGATGGAGACGCCAGGGCCCAGCCTCCACAGGGTCGCACCAAGGTGACTCGTTGACCATGCCGTGCACCATGGTCGCTGCTGGTGAGATGCAGCACACAATCAGAGTGAACACTGTGGAATGTCTGGGGCTGCCTTTTCATCCGTATTCACATTCCGGATGGAGCACATCTTGGTGTTTGCAGTGGGGCAATGCAAGACGACCTTCCTGCATCATCCCCATCAAACCACATCATCCCTGAAGGACCTTGTCAGACCTCGCCCCCCACTAGAACCTTAATTTGCTTCAAGTCAGCAAGCACCAATAAAAAGAAGTACAGTATATTAAGGTATATTATGAAATTGTTGTTATATAACTATATATATTGTGTGTAGCTTGGTTGAAGGCACATCCAATCCTGCCAAGCGACTGTGCCAAACACTCCACGGCCCGCTCCAAATCCTCCAGCGCCAACTTCTCCCCAGGCCGAGCGCGTCGCACGTTCGCCAAGCACTGCCGGAGGTCCAGTAGACCGCCATTCTCGTCCCGGGTGCGCATACACTGTGTGAGCACCTGCGAGTGGGCGAAGGTGGCCGATTCTGCGGAAGAACGCACTTCAATCGCTGGGCGATGAAGAAAGGTGGGACAACTTAACAAGAGACAACTTCCTGCAAATCTGATTTCAACAAACACTGGAGATGAGAGACGGCTTTCGCAGTTGGACTGTAGGGGCCTTGGTAGTTTCCAGGACTGCCTCTGCCTTGATTCCTTCTTTCCCCAATCACATCGGGCCATGTTCATTCATGTTCTCTGCCCATCTGCCTTTCAAAAAAACGTCAGAACATCAGCTTACAATGAATGAGATCACCAGCTTTTGACAATCACCGCCACGGACCAATCTTCAGCACTTCTGCCGATCATGTGCTTTCGCGACCGCCTGCACCGAGAGATCGCTGTAGAATTGTCCGACGCCCAGCAGCTCATCCCAAAGGCCTTTGCCTCAGCGACGGAACGGCATTTGAGTGAACATAGGTCAGATATTTTAGGTGAATGGGTCGTCATGCAAAGAGAAAGAATGAACATGAATGGCCAACACATATCAATATCAAACAATTGCAAACGTGCGCATGGAATCACTAGAAGATTTGGTTCTTAATGGTGCTGAAAAGGAGCCAAACTAGTGAAACTGGAAGTTACACAAAAACCCTGCGTGCACATGGACGTCTCATGCAGCTTGCTGTTTGACCGAGAGGCTGCTTGACAAAGGGTCCACCCCTGCTGCAATGCACATGTCGCAGAAGGACTTCCGAAACTGCGGGTCAGAGTTGATGCCTCGAATTCCAGGAACTTCGGTATGTCCGGGTGGTGCCCTATTGGGCTTCTAACCTTTTCGAGCTACCCGCATGCGACCCAGCGGCGGTTTCGATGCTTCGAGGCGAAGCTCTTCAGGGAGCTCTGCAGCGTTTCCAGGTGCTGTCGCGCCTGTTGGTCTTTGTCTGCCTGCGTCGACCGAGTGGTACACGGATCAGTTGGAATGGAGTTGCAACTGAACTTTGAGCCTGGTCCGCTACAGAATGGAGAACAGAAAAAAAGGCATTATGTCAGTTATGCCAGGCAACGTTGACAGAGGATTAAGCAATATTAATCAAGCCCAGCTCAAGCTCCCAGTACTAAACTATTAAATTATTAAACCAAAATTAAAAACCTAAAATCCACATGTACATCACCCTAACTTTAAAGGGGTGCACTTTTAATTCGGATTTTACCGTTTCTTTTGAATAACTATTTTTGTTCAAAATCCTTGGGGCTCACAGTTTGCTGCTATTTACGGCAACCTGAGAAAAGGAACTGCGGACCAAGGCGGGCTGAGTGGCTGATCTTGAAAAAGAAACAGTTTCGGCAGCGGGGCTGACACTTAAGAGATAACAGCTGTCGCAGCAAGCAAATCTCGTGTCCTTAGCAGAGACGCAGGTGTCGTAGCTGGCCAAATACATTGGAATAGTGCAGGTGACTAATTTGGGAGCTGTCGTAGCTGGCAAAAAACATTGGAATAGTGTAGGTGTCAGAGAAATTCCTACCTATCACAACAGTTTGATGCAGTTAGCAAAGAAACAGCAAAGACGAGAAAGAGAACTAGCACAGGAGGCATATTTGGTTGGTTAGAAGCTTTTGCCTCGGGCAGTTCAACTTAAAATATGGATTTCGTGGCAGAAGCGGGTGTCGGAGATGAAGTGCAAATTTTGTGCCGCGGGGTGGGGTTGGGGGGGCGCAGCGCCCCCCCCACAGCAGTACACCAGATCCAAAGGTGAGCAGCTCGTGCTTGCTTGCTTTCTTGCTTGCTTGCTTGCTTCCTTCCTTGTTTGGCCATCCATCACGGCTCTTTCTCTGCTATGCTTCCCGCGTGACTGGCTGACTTTGTGAAATGTCGACCACGCTGCAACCAATTTGAAACCAGCACAGTTCCAATGGATTTTGCCAGCTACGACAGCTGTTTATCTGCTAACTGCACCAAACTGCTGTGGATAGGTAGGAATGCACAAAAGGAAAACATCGACAAAGCTTACACATGGAACAGCACAAACAAAAAGAGAAAGGACAACAGCTGCCAAAGCAAAAAAGGAACAAAAGCAAAAAAAACAGCAGAAGCAAAAAAGCAGCAAAGCAGCAAAATCAGAATTCGAAAAACAAATCAAACACAAAAAACGCCCCTCTATTTAAAAACCTCCTAGCAAAAACCTCCCCTATTTGTCAAGCCTAGCTCCCCGATAACAAAAAATAGACACTTAATTAGGTTTATAATTCGTTATTTCACATTTCTCTGATATGCAGTGATCCAATTGGTCATGGCTCTCTGATCTATCCTATCAGATCTCTTATCAAGCTTGTGCCAATATACTAGAGCCCTCATGGTTCTCATGGTATCTCATGGTTCAAACTCTCATGATTCCCACAGAATCCCATCAACCATCATCCATCATCAGGTCCAGGTCCTCATCTCATCATCCATCATCAGGTCATCAGCTTTATTAAGGGGATGTGGTCTCCAATCCATCCAATCTCAAACCTTTGGGGGTTATTAATCCGGTGTCGACATTAGTAATACAGTAGGTCTGTTCAAGTCGCATCACTCATCACACCAGCGAAAACATGAAGTGATTGTCTCGGGCTCAGCCGGGGTTCTCTGATGCCCCTGCAGCTCATGTCAGTTTGGTCACGTGCCAAAACTCTTGAGGTTTTGATGGGTGATGACCGGTCAAGACGATGCCAGCGGAGCCCAGTCGAGTGGTTCCTCCGCACCTCCAGCTGCTCCCCCACAGCCCCGTAAGCACTCTGCTGTTCCTTCTCTCGGATGAGACCGGCAATGCCAGGCTTCCGGCGCATGGCGTCGCCACCGCCCGAACACGTTTTACAGGTAAAGTGGGTGAACTACTGGGTGAACCAGGGTGACAGAATTAACTCGGCAGGCCACTCGAATCAGACTTTTTCACCCTAAGGAACCAGTTTCGTTGAAATCATGAGCATCAGCATCATTATGGGATTTGTAAGAACTGAGGGCCAACCTAGGGACAGTTACACAAGGTTATACAATATTACACACATATATAATTCACACACACATATATATATACACACATACTATATATATATACACTTTCTTCAGCAAACATCGAAGTGTATTGCTGGGCTATTGCTGGGTTGTCGCCTTTCAGGAACCATCTTGAGCTTGTTTGTGCGATGAGTCCTTCAATTGGAATTGGATCAAGAAATGGCTGCTAATAAACCAAGGCTGCTTGAACTTCTCACACAGCTGCAGGGAAAAAAAAGGGGAGCGAAGAGGCATCTTACAAAAACTACATGGTGATGGATGCAAATGCTACCAGCTGCTACCAGGAAGGATTTCAACGCAAATGGTTTTCCAGTGGCATAGCTGGCATAGTTCCAGGCCAACCGTCAACCGCGCCCAGGAACTACAGCACCGCCCACTAACATGGAATGGGAACGTTGTCCATGCGTAAAGCCTTTTGTTGTGGGTCATGTTCACACATGTTCCCATCTCATGCAAATGTATTGTATCAACATATATGTGCTTATGTAGTGTAGTGATAGTAAGCAGCAGTATAGGAGGGTACTTTTTGGGCCTGCTCTGAATCGTTTGCGCTAGCGGCTTCGCTGGCACGGAGCTCTCTAGAAGTAGTTCTCCACAAAGGGCAAAGGTGCAAGCACCTCCACATCATCAGGCGATGCATCCACAGTCTTCATCTCCTTGGGCCCCTCCGGAATGCGCTTGCAAACGATGCTCTTACCCTCCTTCTTGGCCTGCTGCTTCTTCTTGTCATTCTCTTTCACCCGGTGCAGGAACGACTCATTGCACCGAGACTTGCGGACATGCTCAATGCGCACGTGAATGCGCTTGCGCAGCTGGCGGTTTCCCACAATCTTGGTCATTTCGACTCCAAGGGCATTGCGATTCACATTGAAGACGATGCCCGTTCGGCCATGATAGAAGGAGTATGGCAAGCCCTTCTGGATCGAAGGGTCTGCGACGATGTCCACATAGTCTCCCCGCTTGAAGTTCACCAAGTACCTGGCCAAGCCGGGTCTTCCCTTGGTTCGGTACTTCTTGGAATACTTGTCGCGCGTGCCATGCCGATAACCCTTAGAGATGACTCGGGTCTTGCCCATCGCGACAGCTTTCTTGCTGGCGCTCCGTGTCTTGGTCCCGGAAGCAGGCGGAAACCTTGAGCCGAAATGAGTGAGCGCATGGAGTAGTGATTCGGCGCCCAGCGGACGCACCTTGCTTTCATGATCTTTCAGCTCAGAACCTGCAACAACTAGGCTCAAACAGGCTCAACTAGGCGGTCACCAAAAGGACCAAGTTCCCACGAAGTTACTCCATTCGCTGAACCTCCACATGTCCTGTTTCCACATGTCTTCATCCTTCCCCTTGTTGCACGGTCTTGTGCCGAGTGTCTGAGGACCAAAGCGATGAGCAAGGATCGCTTGGTGCCACCGGCAGCTTTCACATGTGACAACTTCTTCTGTTTCACCTGGCGATGGCAAACCATCACGTGGAAGGGCGACAAACATGACACATGCATAAGTATGCATACGGCATACGGGACGGAACGAGCCAATTCTGAGGCCACCAAGGCCACCAACGTTGTGAATGAGGAGGTGAACTTGTATCAACAATATGGTGCTGGACATTTCTTTAGATCGACGGCCCGAAGGAAACTTCTTCACTGAACTGCAGGGCCCAGGGCTGTTTGTCAAGCTTTGGGGTTCTCTCACATTGCCGCTTATCTTTTACTCTACGCAGACATCCCCAAGTATACTTGCAAAAATTCACTTGGAACATCATGTGTCCAAAAATCTGAAACCCTTTACTTAGAACATTGTGTTTGGAACATCCAGGAATGCGTACTTAGAACATCAAGGAAGCGCTTGCTTAGAACATGGCATGAAGCGCCAGCACACTTAGGACAATATAGACCTGCCTAAAGCCTTCAACTTCTAATCCAAACAATATTCTAAGTTATATATATACTGTTTCCCAAACAAAGTAGAATACAGTAATCTCTAATGACTCTAATGCCCCCCAGGGGCACCAGGGAATATTCTAAGTGATTGCAGCCTATAACTATATATAAATGTATGTCCACATGGAATCCCGAGCGCTGAGACTTGCATGATGTCTCAAGTGTTTGTTAAAGTTTAAAGGTGTTTTTATACAAAGCCTTCCACATGTTCTATGTGTACTTGCGGGCGTTGTTCTGTGTGTGCGGTGTCATGTTCTATATATGTCTGTGTGTGTGCATGTGTGTCCCACATTCTAGACACCATGCACTCTAACCTATGCGCTTAGAACAACCTGACCAGGGAGAAAAACCTATGTTTTTCTTTAAATATGTTCTATAAGCAATTGTCTTACAGTATAAACAGCATGGAACATTCCTCAAACGTTACGTGGTCAATCGATGTGAGCTCTATCAAAATGCAAATCAAAGATAATCAAAGCATATTCTGTGAGCACCACCACGAAAAGAGGTGAATTCTTACAGATAAGGTACACCATCATGATCCATCATGTATCAATTTGTAAGGACCACGGCGTCTATTTGAGGATGACTAGTACTAGTTGCACCGGAACCGGGGAGAGCGAACCATGCCTCCGCCAACATGTAGTCCGCTGGCCGCAGATGTATTCGGTGTAGCTCCTGAAGTCAAGTGACAGGCGCAAAAACGATCCAAACCATCCAGGCCAGCCTCACGAAACACCTTGCTCCATCACGAGACCAGCAAAGGCTGACGGTGAGCTGGCTGCGCACACCCCTCACCAAAGTGTTTCTGTTGTTTTGTGTTCGATATTTGTCCAGCTGCATGGCCAAAGTGCTTTTGAAACAAAGCTCCAGATCTACTCAGTTCATCTCATTCCGCAAGCCAAGCCGGCCCGTTTCTGTTGCCTCTTCTTTTCGTTGAATCTTATTCGAAGAACGGTTTACTGCATCTCTATCAAATTCCTGCCCAAAACGTAGTGATGGAAGAACACCAGCTCACCACCCAAAACGCGTCCGGCAGCTGCCCCAAGAAGACCCAGCAGTCGTTCGGGTCTTCTCTGTCAGGTGGAGTTCCGAATCCCGGTGGCCAAGTGGCAGATTGAACTCTGGAGTCATTGCAATAGCCATAGAGGCCATCGGCCTCATCCAAAAAACAACGACAAACTGGCCACCAGTTAGTTAGAGATCGAGAGAGTGGCCATCACGTGTTACGATACCCCTAACACATGTACGGCCACTGTTGTGTTGCGTGTTGGAGCTCTGCAGTGGGTGAAGGAATTGCAGCAAAAATGGTTTTTTAAAAAAGGCAAATACCTAGAGTCTATAGAGTCACGCAGCCAGCATCGCCAAACAAACCAAAGGAATCACAAAAGACCTGGAGGAATGGACCTGGCTCCGACACAGGCCGGTTGAGCCTTCATCCCGCTGCTCAAGGCTGCTTGAAGCATGCTGGAGGCGTACTCATGGAAAGGTGACCTGGCACATTTGGAACGTCATGAACTGTCAATGGTCCCTTGTCACAATTGGTTTCCTATCACGCACTATTGAACAGGTTCAAGGACAATCATGCCACATAACGCCACATGCGTCCGCATGGCCAATGCAAGGCAGGATGGTGGCAGGAGTTAAAGCATATACATGTTGCATGTTGGGTATATCCCATTCCCTGTAGCTGATGATGATGATGATGATGATGATGATGATGATGATGATGAGTAAAGGCCTTTCTCTAAACTATATTGATAATATGTGAGGGTGATACTGAGTGGTACTTGTTTACCTGCAAGTAACGGGACACACCCAACATACATGGTATTTAGGAAGCACCCTAAGCACGGCGTACGTCATTTTGTCCACCGCCACAGGACGGCCGCGGCTGTTGGGAGTCTAGGGTCCCAAGCCCAGTCTCCATACAAACATATGGGACTTCACCCCCACAAAGGTACCTTGGCTCGGCACAGTGGTCAGCTGGACTTGTTGGCCACAGTGATCATGTCTTTTAAAGATCTAAATGTTCCAAACTCCCTAGATCACACCACATCTCGCCATTTAAGGCCCTAATTGACCACAAACTGCAGGTGAATTCTCACACATGTGGCACAGCCTGTGCAAATTCCCTGCACCTTGTTCAAGGCCTAAGCCACCGCTCAATTTGTTGAATCGGTGGAACTCATCTAGCCCTGCAGCATCCTGCACCCTCCCATTCTCCACATCTCGCGATCTCCACTGGCCAGACCGCTCCCAACTCTTCCCAGAAACGTGATCTCCACTCCGTGCTTGACAAACTTCTTTGGCCGTTTCCTAGGTGGCACTCTGTCACACTCACCGAGGAAGTCTCTTGGTGACTCAGTCCTTCCACCCTGGGCAGCGTTCAATAGCTTGCATGATTTACCTACACTGCACAGTTGGCATGATCTACCAAGGTCTACGATCTCAACATGTGCAGTCTTTCACGGGTTGCTCAGCCACTCACTTCGACGGGACCACAGAACCTGGCAGGGGAATTTCAGGGGAATTTCATGGAATGACTTGTTGTGCGGGGGCATCTCCAAGTTCATTTTCTTGGGGTGCGGACAATGGGGTGATTTCCATCTGCGCAGCTTTCCCATCGATGGAAGGTCTCTGAGGAAGGACCGTCCGCAGCGACCGGGCAACGGGTGTATGAAGCCGAGATTCGATGCCATGGCCCACAGCACTGAGCCGTCTCTGACTGTCCCAGTATTCTGTGAGTTTGATGTGTGGTTTGGGCTGAGTCTGGAAGGAGTTTGGCCAGCTCTACAGTAGATTGATCTGTCTTTTTTGTTTGTGTATGTGTGGTCTTGG